TTAACTAAAGATCTTCAGTGTTGGTACAGAAATCGCCTATTTTGTAGGCCAGCAGGTAGGTGGTCCATCCCCACTGCCCAGTGGGGAGGACCCTGAACCTCATCAAGTCCCTCCACCTTGATACTAGTTTGCAGGAAATACACAGGATAGGGAAATATGCTAAATAATATTAGGGCATTCCATCACTTGAATGTGAGAAATTTTACAAGGCTCGTGACCTGGTTTATTCAACAACTGGTGTGGAAGAAGCAGGTGGGGAACTGTTGGAGATGGAGAGAGACGTAGGGCCACGTCAATCAAAGGCAATGTGGCTCTTGCTTGGATCCCAATTTAAACAAATGCGCTGCTGAAAGACATTTTTCAGATGATCTGAGACAATTTAAATACAAGCTGAATAGGATGATATTAAGGAATTATTGTTAATTTTTTAAGTTAACCTTAAACTCATTTAAACATTCTCGTTGTTCGCTTTTATAAAATGGTGAGCCCGAAGGGAGGCAGTCATGGTTGGAGAGGGGGAGCTCTGATTAGAAAGTTTAGAGGTGGGCGTTTGCGGGTGAAACGCTGACAAGAGACAAGTGTGAATCAGTGACAATGGGGAGTGGAGGAAGTAAATGACTGATTGGATTGGTAGTCACTTTTCTGCATTAATGGCAGTTCATTCAAGAAGCAGAAGAATTTCCTAATAGTCCTTGTCCGAACATTTGCAGCCCGAAATACTGCGCAACAGAAATGCGAGGCACTCAGAGAGAAATGAAATAATTTTTTAGAGCTTTCCTAGGCAATAATACACACAGAAAATAATGTCTCCTTGACCTTTCAGAATGTTTTTGCCTAAATAGTTCATGCATTATTTTTCATCCTCACTATATTCTTATAATGCAAAAGAGGGGGCAGATATTAAGAACTATGGGACAGGAAGTCTATATTTTATTAAAATAGGGTTCCCAGAAATTAACTGACTTCTCTTTGCCTTTTCAAGCATAGAATGTGTTGTCCATGAGATTTCCTGGGCCAGGACGCTGGCCAGGACTCATAGAGCCTAATGCCACATCCTGATTTGTAACTCTTCCTCCCGGTCAGTGAGCCCTTCCCCAAAGGAAGACGGGCTGAGCAGAGTGGTGCAAGCTCAGGACAGCTGTTCTCACACTAAGGAACCCCCACCTTCCCCCAGCCATAGAGCCAACTCCACTGCCAGGTTGCTGTGGAGTGCTGAGCCAGTAGGACTCAGACCCCACACATGCAGGAGGTGCCCAGGGCCATCCTGGTCCTGGTCTGGCCTAGGCCTAGGGCTGATATGTCCACCAGGGAGGGACACTCAGCCAGGTCATGCCAAATGCGTCCCATCTCCTTTCCTCCTTCCACCAAGCCTTGTGCACCCATTGGTCTTCTATCTGCTACTTGCACAATGGAAATGTGTCACCCCACTTTGTTCTCTGCTTTCTGCCACAACTCAAGTTCATGTACACCCATGGAGCTCTTCTTACGGTTCAGTTGGCAGCGAGGCAACAAGGGGAACGCAGAAACCCTCTGCAGAGTATCTGTCATCATTCCGTTTCAACCATATTTATAGCCCGGTGCTAGGGGCTAAACACTGATGAAAGCAGAGCTATAAAAACATTCATCTTTCATTTTCACCGGATAAGGACAACTGAATTAGAAGAAACTGAAGCAAAATAAAAGAAAAGACAATGGACACATTTAAATATTACAATATTGTTATTGCCAACACAAAGCTTAGTTAGGTGCTTTACAAATGAAATGCTAAGTACAAATTTGTAAGGGGGCCTTCAAGGCCCAGGGAGACAAGACAAGAAGGGGCTGGCGATGCTCGGGGCTCACTGCTAAATGATACACACCGTAGATAAGCTCCACAATCTCTCTCATCTCTCACACACCCTGACGACCAAGGAAAACCTCGGAAATGCTAACGTACTCTCATCAGGTTTTGTTATTAATACACGTATCAACCCACAGGGTTATAATTTATATATCATGAACTATAGCCATAATTTGTCTTCGCAAGGTTCAATAACATAATAAATATTCTTCAAATCATTTTAGAACAATGATTATTCTACCTGGAAATACTCAAAACATAACCTCACTCAGCCAGAGTCTCGCTTTCGCCCAGTGCGTTTGCCCCGCCGTCTGCCTGCATCGCCTCGTCTCACTCAGGGAGGTTCCGGCGCAGCCCTGTTCTGTCACCGATTCCCAGGTTCTAGCACCACACTCTGTCCTAGGAGTCAGATTATTTTTAAGGCACATATAAAAGTTTATCAATGAGAAAAACATTCTACATAGGAAAAAGCAACTGTACTTTTCTATCTTATTTACAAAAGTGAAGTCTGGTCTGATTACCAACCAGGAGATTTGGTTTTTTTTCATTGCTTCTATTAAAAAAAAAAAAAAAATCCATCAAGACTGTGTCTGGGATCAGCATGGTTTCAGGATCTGGGCAATATTAGGCTCTGTAATGTCCTGGCTACAGAAGATAGATCTGAAAAATTGAAAGAGGGGAGGAAAAAAGGATATTAATATGATTCCGGGGAGAGAAAAGACATAGGTAGATCTTTTAATTGAATGAGCAATTATTATTTTGTAAACACTTTTGCAAAGACAGTATTGATTTTTAAAATAATATTCCTTTTCTTCAATTGCACAATTTTAAGATGTACAAATTTTTATGCTAGTTGCAAATTTTAAATTATATGTGGGTTTTAAATGCCATTTATAAAATTCAAACTATGAAAATGCAAAGGAAAAAGTAATACTTACTCATATCCATATTTTCCAGATACATCTATCACCATTTCTGCTCCCAACTTATTCCAAGAATGTCCAAACCAGTGCTTCTTCCAAAGGAACTCAATACTTGTTATATTTCCAACATTAACGTCTGCATCAATTAATCTTGTATAAGTCATGCCTGGCTTCAATGTTCCACTGTCAACAGAAAAACGAGACTCGTAATCTGTACTGGGTATTCGCATTGCCAAAGTGAAAGACAACATCTGTGCATGTACCATGGAGGAGAAAGTTGTATGCGCTGGCATTTGCTTGTAAGGAGATTTATTCTTTCTATTCCTATTGGTTAGCATCTCAGAATAGCGTGGTTCTGAAGCTTGAGAGAAGGGTGACGTAAATGGGAAACCTGACCAGTTGATTTTTAGGGGATGCCAAGAGAGGCATTATCTTGATGAGTTGTCTATCATGAAAGATTCTGGTCTTGGCTTTGTAGTATCAGACACCAGATTTTACAGACACTGGGAAATGATCAAATTGTTAGTGATGGACTAATTTATCCAAAACTGATATATAAACTAGAAGCTTGTTTATTAGTTTACAATGAAGAAATGCTTTCTTTTTATTAACCAGAATGCTCTCCTAGTCTTCCCCTGGTACCTTTTTCATCTGTATAAAAAGATGTTTTGGTGAGCAAAGCAAGAGAGCAGAGAGAAATGGATTATCTTGAGGCATAAAATATATTTTACCCAAGCCAAAATTGGACCAGATGAGATTTCCTTATTCCTGCTCTTTCCTTATTCTTTTGTTAATTTATTGTCTCCACTAACTGGAAGATAAGTTCTCTGAGAGTAGGACCCACGTCTGTATCCCTAGCCATTAGAACAACTCCTGGTACACAGTAGGCATTTGAATGTTGGTTGAATGAATGAATGAATATTGCTATTCCTCGATCCTATCTTATTCCATTACATGTAGAATTAATTGATTTAATTATCAGAAGACAACTTTTCTTCCACGTTCTTAGGGGTAATCTCCCTCCACGACGGGGTCATTAGAAGCTCAAACAGCTATTATATAATCTATATGAAGGCAGACTCTTACAGCTTGACTGAAGACTAGGACTAGGCTAGCATACAAATTCATTTAGCTGACTTCATGTTCAATGAGACATCTACTGTGAACCTGAAATGCTTAATTATTGTTAAAAGAGGATTGGTTAACTGTATAACTATATAACTTTATAACTATATAAAGCTGAGTTAGGTAGCTAACTATAACTATATAACTATATAAATATATAATATGTACATATACATATATATGTATATGTATATATAGTTATATATATATAACACATTATTTTCCAGTTTGGGAAAAAGGAGTTCTTTCAACATAGTGACAGTCCTAGGACAGTTCTTTTTGGCCTATTAAGAATATCTATCT